CCTAGCTGTAGGATTCTCTACAACTAATGAGGACTATTGTATCTATTAAAAGATCAGTGGGAGTGATGTGATTGTTATTTCTTTGTATGTGGATTATATGCTAATTGCTAATAGCTCGATTGCCCTAGTAGTAGAGATGAAAACTTTCCTTGCACAACACTTCGATATGAAGGATCTTGGAGAAGCTTCATATGTATTGGGCATCGAGATAATAAGAAACTAAAAGGAGAAAACTATCCAAGTTTCTTAAGCAATCTACTGCATGAGGATACTGAAAAAGTTTGATATGGATAAGTGTAAGCACATGTCTACCCCAATAGATAAAAAGATGAAGCTTAATAATAAGATGTGTCCTACTGAAGATATTGATCTAAGAGTCATAGAGAGCGTGCCTTATAGAAGCACAATTGAGTCCCTTATGTACATCATGACGGGAACAAGGCCTAACTTATCTTTCTCCACGAGCATGGTTAGTCGATTCCAATGCAATCCTGGAGAGAAGAATTTGAGGGCAGTTAAGAGAATCCTCGGATATTTGAAAGGGACAATGAACTATGTGCTTACATACAAAGGAGGAACTGAAATAGCAATTGAGGGTTATTCAGATACAAACTATCTCACAGATCCAGATTATGCCAAGTTCATATCTAGATATGTGTTTATGTTTGAAGGGGGTACAGTTCCTTGGAAGTCAAAGAAACATGATATGGTGTTTTTGTCCACCATGGAGGCAGAATACATGGCATGTTGTTTGGCGGCCAAGGAGGCCATATGGATTAAAAAATTTCTTAATCAACTCAACTTTTTCCCTGTGTGTTGTACGGTAGTATGGATTTTCTATGCAACATGGCGGCATTTTGTGTTTCAAAGGAGACGTGTTTTAATAAGAAATCCAAGCACATAAAACCATATTTTTATCACATGAGAAATGAGGTAAGATTGAGAGAGATAGAGATTAACTATATATCTACACATATGATGATTACAGATCCTCTAACAAAAGGGATTGCCCCTAATATTTTTATAAGACATGTGACAGAGAAGGGGATGAGAGAAAGTGGGGAAGAGATAATGTAATTCAAAGGCCAAGTGAGAGATGTTAGATGAGTGTGACCATTAATAGCCTTATAAGTGCTTATAATAAAATATTTTGATATAGTGGATTATGAACTCAGTGGGAGTGTAGTCCCTCAAGGAGTATACTAAGAAAATTACCTTTACTGATACCGAATTGAGCTTTAGGAACTAGGTCAGTCGGTTGGGAAAAACTTATGTTACATGAGTATAAAAAACTATCACATAAGGGTTCTGATATGCCATCTCTTGATGAGTTCGCAGTATGCCCGGATGAGTGATTGTAGCCTTCAGAGACGGGGGCAAAAGCCTCATCTAGGTTCCATCACACGATATGCACATATGATAGTCATTTCAAGAAAGCGAACTACCTTTCAAGTTGAAGCTTGTCATGTGCGAGAGATACTCATATGTGTCATAGGAGCTGTGGTCACATCAGGTCTAGGTGACATTGATACGTCTTTAGAGGAGAACTTGGATTCCACAAACTGGGATTACGACCCCTTGGCTCATCGGCTAGACTTTGGTGACACACTGATGAGCCCCTGCATGGACTGTAGGTCATGGAAAACACTTGATCAGTTTGATAAAACAAGTGTGGTCTGTAGTCCACAATTGAATGTGGAGTGCCCCAATGTTTATTGATTTTATTCCTATACCATATAAATCGTTTTCCCATCTAATGAATTTAATTATGTTTGTTTTATTATATATATAATATTAGAATTATTATTTAAATTTTTATATATCTCTGGATATTTTATTTATCAAATTTGGATTTACAAAGAGATATTAATTTTACATTGATTTAAATATTCAAATAAATTCTAAAATTATTTTATTGAGTTTTAAAAATATTTAAAACTGCATGGTAGCCCATTGTGTGGGCCCGTAAGATCCTCTTATTGATGGCACATCGCACCTATTTAGAAGCTTTTTTTTTTTTTGTGATAAGTGACTTTGGCTTGTGGGCCAAGTTGCTATGTGTTTTGGAAAGGTATTGGTTTGAGGAAGCTTTGTATGGACTTTTGGAAATTATGAAAAGGCTTGTGTATTATTTTAGTATGCGCCATATTATATTTGAAATATTTTATTTAATTTCTATTGATGAGAAAATGATTTAGGAATGGGGGATAATGGTTCTAGCACCTTCCATAATATTGATGGCTCATCTATGGAATGGATGACTCAAATCACTCACCCTACAAATTACCTAAGATCAATAGTTCACGTTCAATCTCACAAGAAGAGGTAAGTCAAGACAAACCCTAAGAAACCCTAATCATGTTTTTTCACTATAAATAGAGGACCTCTTGCCCATAAATTTCTATACCAAAAATTTCTCTTATCTCTCTAAATATTTCTCTCTCCCCCTTGGTAGCAATAGCGGGCACGCCCCTACCTTAGAAGTCTCTCTCTCTCTTTCTCTCTCTCTCTAGATCATATTAAGGGGCACGCTCCACCTCTTGAATTATCTCTCTCACTTTTTAGTTTGACCTAAAGGTCATGTCCTACCTAGATAATGTTCTATTTATCTCATTTTGCCTTGATAAACATAAGGGTTGGGTAGTAGTAAGAAGATATTATCTTACTTAGATTAGGTCTTGACGGTTTGGACTTAAGTTTGTTTTTGTAATCAAGTGGAGTCCATAGTTCCATTTGAGGGCTTCTCTTAAACTTTTTTTCCCGGCTGAGATTGAAGGTTGATCGTTGATCGTTGATCTCCCGTCATCGGATGGTAGTAACTCGATGTGGGTGTAATAAGCCAAGTTGATGTAAGCTCCGGCATTCTCCTTTTGTTTCTTGCCTATTTAATTATATTGTCTTTATATTCCCAAGGATAAGAAGTAGTGGTTATTTTCTTTGTTTAAAGAAAATTGGTTTAATGGCATCAAGGTTTTAAAGATCTTGGATTTGTTGGTTTTATTTTTCTTTGGGGAAAACTTTCTATGTTTCCCCTACAACATAGAAGTTTTATCCTGCCCCTTATCCAACAGTCCATTTTTTAATGGAGGGCTAAGATTGCCTCAATCACAATGTCACGTCTCTACACTATTTTGTTTTTAATTTTTTCTATAAACTATTTTGACATCAAATTTTGGACGTCCATTCCTCTATTAAACTCGCACTAACAAAAAATATAAAAAAATATTTTAGATAAAATAAAATGATCAAAATACTCCTGAAAGATTCAAGGGTTACGTCATTATTTTTTATCGAAATATTATTGTTAATATTTTTTATAGGTGTGCCCCATTGAGAAGATGACATGTACCAAATTTCATAATCAGAAAATTTGTATTAAAGCCACTAAAAATAAAATACTTTGAAAAGCCGGATCTAAGATCGGTGAGCAGCTCTCTTGATAAAAAATGGACGGCTAGATGGTAGGAGGAGGATATAACTTCTATGTTGTAAGGGGAACATAGAAAACTTTCCCTTTTCTTTGAAGCAAAGAGTTATTGTAATAAGAATACTTGTAAATAATCTTTGCTAAAAGAAAAAAGGGTGAAAAATAATATATATGTATATATATATATATTCTCCTGCAAGATCATATTAGTCTTTCTTTCAATTGAAAGATGAACTATTTTTGGGATTTAAAAATCCATTTTTCATCAACCTTTGTCATAACAATGCTATCCATAGATCAAATATTTTCGTGAATTGGATTTCACTTGACATGTGCACCTTAATTTAATATAAAACTACAAACCTTGTATAACCTTCTCCTTGTTCTATTTTCTTTTCACTTAGAGACAAATTTGTGAGTACCTGTACCAAAAACCACATAGCCTTCACCCGGCATTCCCTTATGCAGCACCCGAGGAGGGCATCCTAGAAATATTTTTAGGGTGTAGTTTATATGGAGCCGAGGCTCTAACAATCAAAATAAAGAGCACATTTAAATAATGTCGAAAAATGTGGTTTCAATACTAGAAATCTTTGTCATAGCTTTAAAATATATTTTCATCTTTAATTATAAAATTTAACGCTAAAAAAATAGTGTAGATGTAGTAGATATATGAAAAATTGAAAATCTTGAAAATTGACTGTCTAAAAATACATTATAAGATGCACTATTTCCAAAACATGAAATCCACTTTTTTTTTCATGTCCATGGATCTTGATGTCCATGTCGAGATGATCAATATGAGGATATTTGAGCATCAAAATAACATCTTCTAGTGAAATTATTGAGGTAGCCTCTAATTTGATTGTTTAGAGCCTCGGCCCTATATAAATTTGTTCCGTATTTTTAAGCCCATTAATAAAAAAAGGAAAATTTTTGTATAGAACCCTAATTCCTCATATTATTTCATGGTGGATCTTCTTTCTGTTTTTCTTTCAAGCGGCATAAGGAAATCCCTACAGATTTTACCGTACCCCTCTCTTATCTCTTCTTTTATTGACTTTTGACCATAAAAATTAGTCCCAATAAATTTTTTTATACTATTACATCTCAAAAACTTTTTTAACCATCTCTTTCTCTTTCCACCTATTAAAAAAGATTTAGGTTGAAATGGTATAAAAAGATTTGTTAAAGCTAATTTTTATGATAAAAAGTCAATAAAAAAGAAAGATAAGAGATGAGGGGTATAATGAAATCTTTAAAAAAATTTTAAGCCGCTTAAAAAAAACAGAAAGAAAATCTACCGTAAAATAATACGGAAAATTAGAGTTCTACTCTAAAATTTCACTATAAAAAAATTGATTACGATCTTGTCGTTTTGTATGCGGTACGATATTCTCCACCAGCCACGTCAGACCACCTTGGCCGCCTCCGTGAGTCCAACCTGGCGGCCGGGCCCCGCCTCACTGTTTGACCATATACGCCATGCACCCATGCCCACATGCATAACACATGCACACATACATCATCATCAACGGACGCGCGCGTCTATTAAACGGCCTTTACTCCCTGCCTCGTTACTCCACTTGAAAGACAAGGCCCATTTGTTATCTGCGTTTTTTTGTTCTCTTCTCTCTTAAGAGATTGATTTCCTTTGACGATTCGAACGAGGAATGGGAGAGGTGAGTTGGTTTCTTTAATTTTCATGAGTCTGAATACATCAAACAATCGCCATTTCCTCGGTCTTCTGGTTTTCTTTAGGGAATTAATTGCCGTTTTTGCCGATTTTTTCAGGCGAAAGACGATGGCCAGAAGAACAAGGGAGAAGGGAAGAAGGAGGATGGACCCACAACTGTGGTTCTTAAGGTTGACATGCACTGTGAGGGTTGTGCTAGGAAGGTTAAAAGAGCAGTGAAGAATTCTGAAGGTATTTTTTTTCATATTAACAAATTTCAACAATGGAGAGATGGATTTCCATTATAAATTAAGTTTTTTGAGATTGTTGTATATGTAGTTTCTTCTGTCTTTTGTTCATTTAAGTGGTTCATTTGGATTTGTGTGTGTGTTTGGGGTTTGTTTTTTTCTGTTTGAATGAATGCTTGATTCGGATTTTGATTTGTTTTCACAATATTAGTAAGTTGTAATGCTGAAATTAAAGGGAAATGTGGTATTTTCACCCTTTTTTCACATTTTCTGTGATTTAAATGTTTGGTTTTAGAGAAAAGGGTCTTCTATCAATGAACTAAATCTGAGACTATGAAATGTGTAGTTTCAAAAACTGTCTTTTCTTTTTTGTAACTATATTTTGAGTGGTTTTTTATTTTTCAAATTATTATGGTGACAATATATAGGAGAGAAATGTAGTTAATTTTCTCTCATGTGTTCTAATTTCTTCCTTCATGGTTAATTTCTTGGGTAGTTATTCACTTATTTATATTTTTTTCTTTTTTTCTGGAGAAAGTTGATTTTATTTTTTAATACCTTTTTGCAGGAGTTGAGAGTGTAAAGGCGGATTGCAGTACCAACAAGCTTACGGTGGTGGGGAAAGTTGATCCATCAAAAATCAGAGAGAGAGTGGAGGAGAAAACCAAGAAAAAGGTGGAGCTTTTGAGCCCTGCTCCCAAAAAAGAAACAGGTGAGAAAAAACCAGAAGAAAAGACTGAAAAAAAAGTGGAGGAAAAGAAAAGCAAAGAGGTAATAATAATTTGGACCCATATAAATTCAAAAACAATTAATAAATGTCTTGTTTTGGTATTTTGTTTCTCTCTCTAATTTGCAGAGGGATTCTTATTTTGAGTTTTTGTGAATTTCACAGCCCAGTGTTTCAACGGTTGTTTTGAAGATCCGGCTGCATTGCGAGGGTTGTATTAGAAAAATTAGACGGATAATCAAGAAGATTAAAGGTGGGACATTTCACTTTTAACAAATGGAAAAAAATACATAAGGTTGAGGCCCTAAACAATCAAATGAAGGCCCATCTAAAAAACTCAGTTGTTTCGATTTTAAAAAACCTTCGAAGTAACAATCAAATGATGGCACATCTCAAAATTTTATTAGAAGAGGTTGTTTCGATTTCAAAATACTTTCACTTCGATCATCTAGAATTTTTTTTTTTTTTTGGGGTAAGTCAGTGGGGAGAATGGCCCCTACCCTTTATATCATGTTGAATTATTATTTTTTTGGATGAGTTGGTGGGGAGAATGGCCCCTACCCTTTTGTAAGAATTGAGCTTACGATGCAGTGATGCAAATCGTCAAGAGCTAATCATTTAAGCCCCAGCTTTTCTCTTGATCATCTTGAACTTGAGATGTATAGATGTGGAGAGAATAAATTTCAAATCTGAGAAATAATGCATCCTGTAATGCATTATTTGGGCAGTCAATTTTCACCGAATTTATAAATATACTCAATTTACATTATTTTTGAAGCTTTAAATCTTATAATTACAAATATGAAAGTAAATTTTCCAGCCATAGCATAAATTTTTTGCTACTAAAAAATCATCTTTTAACAATATCTAGAGGTACGCCTTATTGTTGATTATTTAAGGCAACTACTCCCTAAACAAAACATTTACCATGATTCCATTATTTACTTTTGCATGCCTCGTTCACCAAACGAGAAAGAAAAATTTGGGGGATTAGAGTTACTGTCCCAACAACCTGTGTAGAGAGAGAAAGAGGAGAGAGAGAGAGCATCACACGAGTATCAAAATCTTGAAGTGAGGCCCGGTAGTTTCGCTAATAAAAAAACTGGGCCCTTTTCACATTGAATTTTATTATATTCACTTCAAAATTCAAACTCCCATTTTTTTTTTTTCTTTTCTATTGTCAATGCTTCTTTTTTTTTCTTTTTTCTATTGTCAATGCTTTCATTTCAACTTTCAAACAATACAATATATATTTCACTGTCACAATTTTATTGTTGATTGAATTTGTGTACTGCATTTGTCAGGCGTTCAAAGCGTGGAATTAGACTCTCAGAAGGACCTGGTGACTGTAAAGGGCACAATGGACGTGAAGGCCCTTCCGATTTACTTGAAAGAGAAACTAAAACGAAATGTCGAATTAGTCCCTCCCAAGAAGGATGAGAAACCAGCTGAGAAACCGAAAGAGGCGGAGAAGCCGAAAGAGGGAGGTGGCGGAGAGAAGAAAGAGGGAGGCGGTGGAGAGAAGAAAGAGGGAGGCGGTGGAGAGAAGAAAGAAGGTGGTGGAGAGAAGAAAGAAGGTGGCGGAGAGGCCAAGAAAGAGGATCCCTCCACCAAGGTGGTGGTCAACAAAATGGAGTATTATGGCTATGGGCCGGGTTACTCTATTGAGTATGTCCACGCCCCTCAAATATTTAGTGATGAAAACCCTAATGCATGCTCCATTATGTAAATTAAATAAAAGGTAAATTTTAGAGAGAGAAAGAGGGAGAAAGTAGTGTGTAGAGTGAAGAGTTAGAGAGGGAAAGAGAGGTGTCACCCTGTGTAGATTGAGAAAGAGTTTTCTAGAGAGAGAGAGGTGTCGGCCTTGTTTTCCTTGCTTTATTTTTCATTTTTTGTATGTTCACGACCAAACTGTATAGAAAGACAATGATATTTGAGCCAAAGCCAGACAGGCCACGTGGTGCGTGGCAGTTTATTTGCTGTATTTATTTTCTTTATATTATATATTACATTTTGAAAATGCAAAATGCATTGGGTTTAGATCTGGTATGGTCCTTCTATACTCTTACCGCCTTTTTTATATTATTATTATTTTATTTTTTATTTATAAAATTACAGTTCAAATTTTTTTTAATAACCCGGTATCGGGTAAACGCCGTAACCGCTCCGATTACGTTACGTGCGCGTGCGGCCGTTGGATTCTAACTACTTTATGGCCATTCAATGCCATGTCTCATATCTACTTTTTTTTTTTTAATTGCATTAAATGCACCTGATTTTTAACGACTATTATACCTTTGAAAAGAGGAATTTGAAATCGGGAAGAAGGATGTTAATGCGTAACGAGTGTATGCAAAATCAAACCGAAACGGTTATCCAGATATGGGTTCGAAAACGGACTAACCGGCCTAACAAGTAAACCTTGATTCAATTGTTTTAGTCAGGTAAGTTTCGTATAGTTAAAAAATTGTTGAAAACGTTAAAAAGACAAAAAAAATTCTACTAAATATATAGTTAAAAAATTGTTGAAAACGTTAAAAAGACAAAAAGTTATATTAAAACAAAATACTTCAAATGAATTTGAAAATTAATGAAAAAATAGATTTTAATGAATTGATTTTTTAATTAATGTGAGTATTAATGACAAAATTAATTTTTAATCTTTACCATAATATATATAATATTAAAAAATACATTACGAACAAAATTCTTTATTTTTGAGAATTTATATAGATTTTGTTAAAAAAATATTTCTATACTGATAGATCATTAAAACTACCTACCGGTTTCGATCTAACCGACCGATTAGCAGTTAGATCGTCCGCTTTTTCTAATGTGCGTGATAGAAGAGGCAAGAAAAGGGGCGGCAGTACACTTGAAGAGCAAAGGGGGTAGGGGAATACATTGGATTGGGCCACACTATTAAATAATTTGTAGGGAGTCTATGTAGGTCCCTGGCTTGATTTTCACTTATCTTGTAGTCCTGAGAATTAGGTGGTCAAATTCAAAGCCAAGATTTGGTTAAAGACGATAGAGAGAGATATAGAGTACTAAAAATCAAAGCCAATATTTGGTTAAAGACAATAGAGACAAGAGTACTACTAACATTTCAAAAGAAAGAGAGAGTAACATTAACATTTCAAAAGAAAGAGATTTCTTAACCCAAAAATAGAGAGGATGCATATTTGAATGATACATATGGAGAAGATGCATATGGGTATGATACAAGACACGAATCACCATACACATGTCCATGAATGGCGGGACCAATCAACAATGTTGTTAGATTCGCTTCGCTACCGCTGAAATCTTCTGATTTTTTGGCTTAGACCGAAGCGAAGTTCAATTGAATTTGCTTCAGCCTACCTTCAACCACTTCGATGTGATTTAGCCTCTTCAGCCAAAGCATAAAATTATTTTTAGTACAAAATTTTGTTATTTTAATATACCTTGATATATATATATATATATATACATGAAAATCACAATCATTCTTCCTCATTAGATGTTAAATCGAATGACTTGAAATGAGTCACGAACTTCAAGAATTCTTTTTCGTAATGTTGTGTCTATTCAATGACATTCTCACAACCACCTATTTTGAAATTTAAGGAACAAGAATGATTGTAACATTCGCAAAAGATAAATGCTCTATTTGCAGACAATTCCTTTTTTAAAGTTGTCGAAAGCAAATTTTTCCATTTTCGACATAAATAAGATATAGAGAGATAATCAAGAAATTAACTAGCAAATTGAAAAAATACTTGCTTTTGAAGCGATACGAGAGATAGAATTATGCAAGGTGAGAAAAAGGCGGCCCATAATTGTCTCATTCTATATAAAGGCAACCCATAAAATATACGCAACCACATGTTTTGTTTCTTGCAAGGGACCAAACAAATTAGCTGAGGGAAGTAATGGAGTAGTCAGGGTCATTTTCGGGTATTAGACTTGGCACCAACGTGGTGGGACACGTTACGTGGATCTGACGTGTAATGCATAAAAAAACTATCGTCTTTTCTTCAGCAGTGAGGACAAAGCTTCGTGCGCCACGTCAGCATCGCCTCATTTTCGCCAATTTATTTATTTTTTATTTTTTTCCATTTCTGTCTCCATCGCAAATTGAAGGTCGATGCCGCTCTCCAAACGATATTATCTTCTTATTTAAACAAACCCTCAACTAATTTTAGAAAGGGAATTTTGCAATTTTAAATTAAATTTTGGGTGGACCATTAGGTGAAGGGTAATGACGAATGGAAATTGCGGCTAGTGAGAACGAGAAACTTCGAGATAGTATCAGTAAGGGACTGGGCGAGCCCGGCCCGATATGCTCGAATTATTTTCTATTTTGGGATGGGCCTTAGGGATTGTATACAATGAGACCCTCACAATTACTTACCACCATTCAGATGTGAAATTTAATAGCTTGGATGTGTTATAAAGGTTGAAAAATTTTTGTTTGAAGTTTAAACTTGATCAATAGAATATTGTAGTCACCTAATTTTGCATTCAACGGTCAAGATTAATGTGACCGCCTTGTAGCAAAGATAAATGGTCTTATTCTCTACTTTCCCATTTATATGAGTGTTGGAAATCACTACTCGGGCCGCGTACTCGGCTCATGCTGATCCAAATACTCGCACCGAGTCCAAGTAACTCGGCTTGAGTTGTGCCAAGTTTAGTAGCAATAAAAAAATAGAAAAAATAGAAAAAAATATAAAAAATCTAAAAAATAAGAAATGTATGTTTAAAATAAGATTAAGTAAAACACATCAAAATGAGATTAAAAAATGGCGTTCCTTTGTAGATCTCCGAAATTCACCCTCATGTGAAATCCCACTCTCCTATATCTTACTCAAGTTCATCGATTTCGAGAGCATTCTGCTGATTTTAGGTGACTTTCACTTTCAACCCGATGAGCCGCCTACGTGCCCTTTAAGCCAATAATAAAATAACAGCCGGTGATTGGGGATATTTTCAAAAGGAAAAAGTTTATATAGAGTCGGGGCTCTAAACAATCAAATTAAAGCCCACCTCAAAAATTTCACTAGAAAGGATTGTTTTGATGCTCAAATATCTTCAAATTATCACGACATCAAGATGCATGAACGTGAGAAAAAAATAGATTTCAAGTTTTGAAAATGGTGTATCTTGTAACACATTTTTAGAACGTCAGTTTTCAAGATTTTCAAGTTTTTATAGAACTACTAAATTCACACTATTTTTTAAGCTTTAAATTTAATAATTAAAAATTAAAATATATTTTAAGGCTATCACAACGATTTTCAGTATTGAAACCAAATTTCTCAGTACTATTTAAATGTGTACTTTACTTTGATTGTTTAGAGCCGAGGCTCTATACAAACCACACCCTTTTCAAAATAATCTAAAAATTATGGAAAAATATAAATAAGTATTTATTACCAAAAAACTTTCCAATCATTGCTAAAATGAGAAAAAAACTATAAAAAAAAAAAACAAATTCTAAATAAATTCCTTATCTTTTAGGATTTTTTTCTATGATATATATATATATATATATATATGAAAAAGCTGGGGTTAGCCCACTAGCTCATATGAACATATGAGTCCAACGGCCCAGATTGAATCTGGGCCGATCTGACAATCATAGATGTCCGGTAGTGCTTGAATTTTATTTATTTTTTTACAAATCCAAGCTATTTAAAATTTTAGGTGTGTGTTCTTCTCATCAAGACGCACCTAATAAAAATATAAAAAAATTATTCGTAAAAAAAAGACCAAAATACCCCCCAAAACTTTTCGGGGGTATTTTCATCAATTTATTTTATGTAAAATATTTTTTTGATATTTTTTTAATATTCACTTATTTATTATGAATACACTTCTAAAATTTCAAGTAATTTAGATTTGTAGAAGAAAAACTAAAATTTAAATACTACTAGACATCTGTGATAGTCAGATCGGCCCAGAATCAATCTGAGATGTTGGGCTCATATATTAATATGAGCTAGTGGGCTAATCCCATCTTTTCTCATATATATATATATATATATATATATATATATATATATATATATA